GCGGGGAGATTGAGGGGGATCACAAACACGGGCCAGCAAGTGTCACGGGGGCCGCCATCATTCCAAACGGGTTGAACCCATACATTGCCCGGCGCTATCGCGTACATTCCGAGCCTCCATAGCCTTTGACAGATTCATGTTATCGAAGTGCTTCCATGCATCACCGTCACTTGGGTGTACCATCTTGTCGGGATGGTATCTTTTGCCATTCTTGTGCCACGTCATACATTTCGCGGACTCCTCCGTCATATACAGCCGTTGTTGCAGCCTCGGTAGGAAAGGAAGGTGCCGCACGACCTTTCGGGGACCTTAGATGTTTCATGCCGCCATCGAGCCTTCTACCAACACGAACCTAGAGGCATCGCACGCGCCGGACAGTTTTTGCTTCCTCGAGGTCTCCCTCGAGCAGACGCACCCCTTCGGACAAGCATGGATCCCCTCATACGGCATCTTAAGTGCACGAAGGAGCTTCGTGTAGCGTAGGTGTTCGTCGGCAGGACATGATCTGCGGAAGCGGTCCCCAACAATGCTCAACACGAGATCGAAGCCGTCTCGACTAATGCCCATTGCGACTTCAACCCTATCAGCGTGAGGCGGCATCCGATTTGTAAGCTTTGTCTTCTCGTGAAGGGGCTTCGTGCCGACTCCATCATGTCGTAGAAGGCCTTCGCGGTTTCTTCGGATCTTCCTCCACATCCATTCCTTCGCCAAACCGTGCTTCGTGGAAGTGCGCCATCATATCCGCCATCCCGGCATCACCATCATACTCCTCGAGGACGGGTCGCACCACCTCGTCCCTAATAGGATGGTATTCACCATGGTGGCGCCTAACGGGTATAGTTTGGAACGAACCTGCTTGAACAGATCTCTCAACACCGAGCCTTTACTTTCTTCTTCTTGTTCCTGCACTCGCCGCAGGGGACACGGCATCCGAATCGACCCTTTAGCGGTGGGCCAAATGCATGCTCCAGAACTCGGTCGTCCCCTCGATCCATTCGTGGCTCTTACTTGCGAAGCCCAGTACATCCACTCACGGTCACCCATGCTCTGTCATGCGGCAATGTTAACATGTGATAAAACCAGCAAGTGCATCTACAACGCGCTCCTACCATCTAATAGGTGAAGGATAGGTCCTAATCCCACCCGAGCAGCATGTGACGAGTTAGCTTCCATGCTCCGCTCCCGTCCTAGACGAATTTTTATAACACCTCTCATTTGTTCTCCCGATACACGCCCCGGCCGGGAGAGTGTGTATCCAGAGAATAACGGGAGGTCTCTGCCAAACTCCGACTTCGGATGGGGAGCGGAACATGGAGCTAACCTCGTCTCTGCCTCCTGCTGTCCAAATAACGTGGACAATCCGAAACGGATACGGTTATACATATGCGAAGAACGATACTTCCAACCGTATCCGTTTGACGGAGACGCCTTCGGGTAACGCGACCTACGACTACATGTGGCGGAAAGAGGGGTCATACTGCGCAGTGCCGTGAAGAAAGGCTAAGCGGGCAAAGGTTGAAGTCGTGCTCCTCCGGCTAGCCTCCAATGGGAGCCCTCCGAAAAAAAGAAAAACAATTAGTGAGAACGAAAAATTTGGCAAACACCTCCACATACGGGAAGGTTACCAAACTCGCAAGAAAAACGGCACGATGGCCGACAAACACATATACATGTCGAGCACCGACAACCACAAATGTATTTCCAATCCATGCGAAGAATATAGCGGTATTAACAAAGTAAACTACTACTACTAGTAGTACTACTACCTCGTTATCACGGACGACGGCGTCAAAGTGTGGAGCGAGCGCGCGAAATGGCAGCGGCAGGCGAGAAAGGCAGGCAATGCAGAAGTATTCAGAATAAATAGTAGCTTGATGGGATGTTTCTTCATGGGCATGGCTAAGTACTCCATGAGCCCTGACGCGGGTTCTGTGAGTTAAAGTTTGGTAGTGTTGTTGACCTCCCTGAGTTGCACGCGGGCCCTGATGTGCCTTTTCCGGGCGGATCATAAAAGCCTAGGTGAGTGAGGGGCTATGGCGGCACGGAGGGGCCCCACACATGGGGTGTGTGGAGTGTGTGGGAGGTGGTGTGCGCCGGTTTAGGGTTTATGCCACGGTGGCGGACCGGGATGAGTGGGGAGTTGTGTTTAGGGTTTTTTGTTTGATGAGTACCTTGGGGGACCAATGGGACCATGGGAGCTGGGGAGTTTTTGTATGTAGGCATGGGGTATGTAAGAGGTTTATAGTTGTTTTTGGGCTTGGCCAAGCTGGGGGGAGCATTGTGGGGGGAGGACCATGGGGGGGGCCAGCCAGTTAGGTTTGTACCTATGGGCGGGGGGGGGTCGCCAGGAGGAGGGAGGAGGGGATTTGGGCCGGCGTGGTGGATTTTGGGGGGGGGAGGGCGGGCGGCGGATAAGGCGACGTTTTTTTTTTTTTTTTTTGCCGATTGCACACAGACATGTGGCGCGTTCGGCAAAATCTATTTTTTTCAAAATTTTTTTTAATTTTTTTTTTAAAATACTTTGCTTATTTGCTCCTGGCGGTCGGCAAAGGTTATTTTTGATTTTTCTCAGAAATTCTTTGCTTGATTGCCATCCTCCACGGCAAAAAAGTAAAAACTCTTGGCTAAGCCCCTTGATGGCGTCGGCAAAAAGAATTAATTTTTTTTCGATTTTGATCCCAGTTTTTTTTGTGTTGCCTCTCTGATAAGTACATGATATATTCCAAGTTTGGGGTCATTTTGATTTATTTTGCTATATTCCATTGATTTTTTTCATTTCTTTGATTTTTTTTTGACTCAGATTTGAGCTGCGGTACATGAAATAATGGAATCGGCGATTGAAAATGATATTCATGATGTTTGGAGCATGTTGAGGCCGTGTCTTGGGGCCTCGCGTGGAAGACCCGTGTTGGTGTCCGAACAATAGAAACCCGTTAAGTGAAAAGTGTTTTTAAATTTTATAAAATCGAAGCGAGTCCGAAAATGACGAAACTTGACGACGTGTCTTGTCATCGCATGCTGCGGAGGTGTGGTAAAATTTGAGAAAGTTTCGAGCAAGTGGCGGCGTCGGGTGGCTAAAACACGGACGTCTCCACATGTGATCCGTCGAAAACGACATCTCGACATGTCCGTGTTTTAGCAACACGACGCCGCCACTTGCTCGAAACTTTCTCAAATTTTACCACAGCCTCCGCATGCGATGACAAGACACGCGTCGTCAAGTTTGCGTCATTTTGGACTCGCTTCGATTTTATAAAAAAGATAGGCGGTGTTCACACCAACAGAATAGCACGGCCTCAACATGCTCCAAACATCATGAATATTAATGGCCGGATTCCATTATTTCATTTCAAATCGAGTCAAAAAAATCAAAGAAAAAAAAATCTATAATATAGCAAAATAAAAAAATGATCCCAAACTTCAATATATCATGTACTCACTGACAAAAACACAATGGATAAAATAAAAAAAAAAAAATTTTTGCATCGCTGTGGAGGATGGCAGTATAAAAGTTTCGCTTTGCCTTGATGGCGTCGGCATTGATTGTAGATTTCAACCATGCGCTTTTTGCCGATATGCATTCTTTTTGCCCATCGCTCGGCAAATAAACATGGTTTTGCTGGCCGCCTCGGCAAAGCAAGAAGTCAGCGATCGGCAAATCTCGCTTTGCCGATTGCAGGAAATTCCAGTTGGCAAAGGGACCTCTTTGCCGAGTGTCGAAAAAAAACAGTTGGCAAAGAAAATTGCAGTCGGCAAAGAGCCAGTTTCCTGTAGTGTTTCCACCTAGATCCCTCCCGCCACTACATTAGTATAAATTGTTATTTTATGCACATTTTAATATAGTGAAACATGTCTATGACTAGATAGAAGAAAACAGTAGACGAGCGATTTGTAGTCAAATTATCAAACCTTCCAGTATAAAGAAACCAATTCCCGTGGTCTTCATTATAGCCTCCGGATAGGGCGACTGACTGAGCACCAAATCTACTCTAGCCAGCAATTCCAGCTATATGAGGCAAATGAGCACCCCATCGTCTACATTCAAATCTATCGTTCCATGATTCTCCAACTCGCACACCAGTTTCCTCCTAGGGTCATGTTCAGGAAGGATTGGTCCAAAATAATATGGTGCAGTTGTCACAAAAATCTGGCCGCTCGAAGCATTTGCTTTTCCAGCTCACTTGGCCCTTTCAGTTGTATATGCCCTGTCGGGCTTATCATCATTCTGTATATAAAGATGTGAGTCTACTGAGCCAGTTGAAGGCCTAAGCAGAAATAGGCAGTTGAGTTTACTTTTGTTCCTTTATTTGTATGCTCTTTCTATTAGACATGTATGTGTGTGTGTTGTACATATTGTCTTGTATGACAAGGTGTATACAACACATATGTGTCTAATACAACACGACACCCAGAGGTTTCTTTATGGGACTTGTCAAGAGAATGTAATGAGACACAATTTCAAAGATAGCAAAGAATAGCAAATTATCTCAATATTAAATAGTTAATTTTTTATACAAAATATTAATCAGTTCATAACACCAAGAAATGGCCCTACAATCAAATGTGTCTACACTGGCAAAATCAATAATATTCAAACAATTACAGCATCGGTAGACCACAATATCACCTACTTGATGAACATTATTGTAGTTTCAAGCATACACATATGCATGCCCAAAGAAAATAAACATACGTATCGCACAACCCGAACAGGATAACCCCTCAAGCAGCTTCGTCGGAGAGCCTCATTCATCTTAACAAATGTTTGGTCAAACCCTTGCTCCATATTTGTTCGTTTGTTTCCACTTAGATCCCTCTCGCCACTGCATTTGTATAAATTGTTACTTTATGCACATTTTAATAGAGCGAAACATATCTGTGACTAGATAGAAGAAAACAGTAGAGGAGTGATTTGTAGTCAAATTGTCAAACCTTCCGGTATAAAGAAACCAATCCTCGTGGTCTTCATCATCTTCATAGCCTCCGGATAGGGCGACTGACTAAGCACCAAATCTACTCTGGCCAGCAATTCCAGCTATATGAGGCAAATGAGCACCCCATTGTCTACATTCAAGTCTATCGTCCCATATTTCTCCAACTCGCACACCAGTTTTCCTCCTGGGGTCATGTTTGGGAAGGATTGGTCCAAAATAATCTAGTTCAGTTGTCACAAAAATCTGCCCGCTCGAAGCATTTGGTTTTCCATCTCGCTTAGCCCTTTCAGTTGTATATGCCCATTCGGGCTTATCAACATTCTGTATATAGTGATGTGAGTCTACTGAGCCCGTTGAAGGTCTAAATAGAAATAGGCATTTAAGTTTACTTTTGTTCCTTTATGTGTATGTTCTTTCTATTAGGCATGTATGTGTGTGTGTTGTACATATTGTCTTGTATCACAAGGTGTGTACAACACACATATGTGTCTAATACAACATGACACCTAGAGGTTTCTTTATTGGACCTGTCAAGAGAATGTAATGAGACACAAGTTCAAAGATAGCAAATAATAGCAAATTATCTCAATATTAAACACTTTATTTTTTAGACAAAATATTAAACAGTTCATAACACCAAGAAAGGGACCTACAATAAAATGTCTACACTGACAAAATCAATAATATTCAAACAAATACAGAATCGATAGACCACAATATCACCTACTAGATGAACATTATTGAAGTTTCAAGCATATGCATATGCATGCCCAAAGAAAATAAACAATACATACCGCACAACCCGAACGGGGTAACCCCTCAAGCAGCTTTGTCAGAGAGCCTCATTCATCTTAACAAATGTTTGGTCAAAACATTGCACCTTATTGGTTCGTTTGTTTTTACTTAGATCCCTCACGCCACTGCATTTGTATAAATTGTTATTTTATGCACATTTTAATATAGAAACATATATGTGACTAGACCGAAGAAAATAGTAGAGGAGTGATTTGTAGTCAAATTATCAAACCTTCTAGTATAAAGAAACCAATCCCTGTGGTCTTCATCATCTTCATAGCCTCCAGACAGGGTGACTAACTGAGCACCAAATCTACTCAGGCCTGCAATTCTAGCAATATGAGGCAAATGAGCACCCCATCGTCTACATTCAAGTCTATCCTCCCTTGATTCTCCAAGTCTCACACCAGTTTTCCTCCTAGGGTCATGTTCAGGAAGGATTGGTCCAAAACAATCTGGTGCCGTTGTCACAAAAATCTGGCAGCTTGAAGCATTTGCTTTTCCAGCTCGCTTGGCCCTTTCAGTTGTATATGCCCTGTCGGGCTTATCAACATTCTATATATAAAGATGTGAGTCTACTGAGCCAGTTGAAGGTCTAAGCAGAAATAGGCAGTTAAGTTTACTTTTGTTCCTTTTTGTGTATGCTCTTTCTATTAGACATGTATGTGTGTGTGTTGTACATATTTTCTTGTATCGCAAGGTGTGTACAACACATATATGTGTCGAATACAACATTACACCCAGAGGTTTCTTTATTGGACCTGTCAAGAGAGTGTAATGAGAAACAAGTTCAAAGATAGCAAAGAAGAGCAAATTATCTCAATATTAAACAGTTTATTTTTTTATACAAAATATTAAACAGTACATAACACCAAGAAAGGGTCCTACAATAAAATGTCTACACCGGCAAAATTAATAATATTCAAACAAATGCAGCATCGGTAGACCATAGTATCACCTACTTGATGAACATGATTGTTGTTTCAAGCATACACATATGCATGCCCAATGAAAATAAACATAGGTACCGCACAATCTAAACAGGGTAACCCATCAAGCAGCTTTGTCTGAGAGCCTCATTCATCTTAACAAATGTGTGGTCAAAACCTTGCTCCTTATTGGTTCATTTGTTTCCACTTAGATCCCTCCCACCACTGCATTAGTATAAATTATTATTTTATACACATTTTAATATAGTGAAACATGTCTGTGACAAGATAGAAGAAAACAGTAGAGGAGTGATTTGTAGTCAAATTATCAAACCTTCTGGTATAAAGAAACCAATCCCCGTGGTCTTTATTGTTGGCGGTCCTTATCGATCAAATCCAACCGCCAATTAATATCCAAAATAGGAGAAACAAACAAACTTTTGACACATATGCTTTTACAAATGACATATTTCCACATGTATTTGAGACTAAGTGTTTTGCAAGTCATAAACATAAAATACATGGGAAGTATGGTAAAAATGCGCAATCCAGAAAGCGTAATGCAGATCCTACATCAAAGAACCAAGCAAAGGCCCATCCAATCATGAAATCTGGGCCGAGCACCGACGTGGCAGCCATCCAGGCCTAGCCAACACCCTACCAGAGCAAGGCGGTGGCGAGTGGGCCAGCCTAGGGTGCTGCCACACCCTGGGTGCGCTCGCACTGCCCCCAACTCTGCTCGGGCCCAGCTTGCTCCGGCGGTTGCATGGCGGCATGCTTGGTCGGTTCCCGGTGGTTTCCAAAAATACCTGCGCCAAACCAACCATGGATTAGTATAAGTAGGAGGGTAGTGCTCACCTTTCAACACGCACACCATTTAAAGTCTACACACCTCACTACCCTCTCTTGTACTTTTACTTTTTAGTAGTATTTGGAGCTAGCAAAGCTATCAAGGAGGGCTTGGCTCCTTGGAAGAAAGAGGGAAATCTTGGTATGAATACAAAGCGAATTTCTTCCAATGCATATGAACTAGACTATAGTTCTCATGTTATAATCTTGACATATGAACTAGTATATAGTTTGTGTGTTATGGTCGTAACATGTGCAGCTTTATGCTTAACCATTCATATGACTTGTATGAGTAGAAGTAGAGCTAAGTTGAGGTGGCGGTTCGTCGTTCCTTTGGGTTTGCCCATGTCCTATGCTTATCGATCTGTAGGGTCGGAGTCTCGGGGGGATATGGATAGTTTCCTTGTACAAGAGCATGGTGCACAGGAACCTTCGGATATGACGGTGCCCCCCGGTTGAAGGGTAGGCGGCTGGTGGTGACAGCCCTATCCGTCCCTTGTAATCCCCCACGTTCGGGTATTTGTAGGAGTCTTAAAGTCTCTCAAGCTTGCTGGCAGACCAGTGCTCGGAGATCTCCCCGTCCATCTTACACTTAGTTCTAACCCTAGTCATGTATCTTGTATGACCATCAACTGTTCTTTGCACGGCTATATTAGAATATGCCTGCTCCGCTTAGGAACATTCTTTTATTCTTTGTTTTCCTTTTATCCGTGAGGTTGGCCCAAGTGTGTGTCCACTATCTTGAATTTACCATTTTTACCCCTGTCATCAACTATTGGTTCACTATGCAAGTATGTAAATCTTGTTCATATCCATGCCAGACTCTTTACACCTTGCCCTCCTTTGGGAAAATATAAATAACAATACCCTGAATACTTTTGGGTGAAATGCTACAATGCTAGATCCGTGCGCTTGCGGATATTATTTCTGTAATCGTTAAGAACTATTGTGGTTGGTGTTTCTTGGCGGCGTCACTAAGGTTTACTCAATCTTAGTGATGGTGCTAAGAAATATTAATAGGCGTTTCTGGCGCCACTACTAGGGATGGACTCTAACTCCAAACTTGGTAGTGACGCTATGAAATGCCAACAATTATTTCTGGCGCCGTTGCCGGGGATGGACTTAAAACTCCAATCTTGGTAGTGATGCTAAGAAATGCCAACAAGCATTTCTGGCACCGTTGCCGGGAGGGCATAGGTGAAAAGAATCTAGTAGGACATGATCATGATCACATGCATGTAATGGTAGCCATAGTTTATGTAGGCTAACTTTGCATGTTTTCTTCCTGTTGTGGATGAAAACATGATAGTGTATGACCGGTTTCGTCTTGCCAGAAAACTACACCAATAATTCGGAGGCGCTCATAAGGAAGAATAGGTCCCGTACCTCTTCTTCCTCCGCTACTCCTCCGACAAATGAACTAGTCGCCCCGCACCATCCGCTACTACCGCTATGGCCAAATCACTCTGCGACTACTCCACCCCCGCTGTTGCCAACGTGCCCGTTGGGCCCGTTGTCAACACAGGCAATGGAAACTTCGAGCTGCACACTGGCTTGAACACGATGGTGCAGGCAAACCAGTTCTGTGGTTTGCCAAGCGAGGACGCAAGTGCACACTTGCAACACTTCCTAGAGTTGTGTGACACCATCGTCATAAAAGACGTCGCACCAGCAGCATCAGGATCTGTCTGTTTCCCTTCTCCCTCGTGGGGAAGGCGAAACAATGGTTTTACAAGGAAAAGGAAGCAGTCAACACGTGGGACAAATGTTCTGCGGCGTTCCTCGCGAAGTTTTTTCCCATGGGCAAAACCAATGCCCTGAGGGGAAAATTTTCAAATTTCCAGCAGACTTTAATGGAATCCATCCTCGAGGCATGGGAGAGGCTGTAGGATTACATCTAGGCATGCCCACACCACGGGATGGAGAACTGGCTCGTGCTCCAGAACTTCTACGAGGGGCTTATGCCCATGTCGAAGGGGCACATTGATGCCGCTGCTGGAGGAGCGTTTCTTTCCCTCACCATCAATGGAGCCACGACTCTCATTGAAAATATGTTGGCCAATAAAAGTTGGGGGGGGGAAGAAAGAAAACAACAAAAAGGCATGCATACAATGAAGGAGGCGGATATGCTTGCTACAAAAATAGACTTATTGTTGAAAAGACTTGACGAGCGTGCCGCCGACAAGGAGGCAATGAAGGGCACCGTCAAGGTCATGGACTCGCAAATGACTTGCGAAGTCTGTGGAGAGGTTGGCCACCCGGGGAACGACTGCCCTGAGACTAGTGAGGAAGCTGCATATCTCAACAACGAGTTCCGCCAACAAAATAATAATAGGTGGAACAACCAGTCTCACCCGAATTTTTTATTTTTGGCCCTTTTTTTGAAAAATATTTATAAATAGACCCCTAGTGGTTTGATTTTCGTTTATGGACCCTAACCTCGGCACCATGGCTTTTGGCGCCGAGGAAACACGTCTCGGTGCCATGGCCAATGGTGCCGAGGTCTTGACGAGGCGTCGAACGTGGCGGTGACCTGACGCCGACATGGACAAAGCCTCGACGCCATAGATCTTAGCGCCGAGCCTGGCGCCGTAGATCTTGGCGCCAAGCTGTTACCGTATAGCTCTTGGCGTTTGAAATGAAAAGTATAATTGTTCCGAGGAACATGCAACAACGCCATTGCGGTTTAGCTGGTTAGGACACGTGCAACTTAGCTCAAAGGCCTGGGTTTGAACCCAGCGCTGAATTTTTTTTACTATATTTTTGTTAAGATTCGTACTGTATGTTTGATGTTTTTTTTACCTGCAATGCCACCATCCCTGCCGCACCACCACACCCACCTGAAGAACGCCATCCCCATAAACTCTCGGGCGCGATACTTTCCCCATCCCTCCCAATCACCACCCATCCCATCCTCCGCCTTCCCTTCCCCCGCCGTCCCCGACCCCGCCCCCCGCCCCCCAGATCGGCAAATCTGCCCGCATCTACCCCAGCGAGCGTCGCGCGTCCTAGATGGCCACCGCCTCCTCCGCCCGCCACGGGGTTCCGTAGCATGGGCCACTCCCCCTCCTCCCTCTCCAAATCCGGCCCCTGCTCTCCACCGTGCCGCAGCAGGTCGCTCTCCCCGTGGCGCCGCCGCCGCAGCTGCGGCGGACCGCGGCGATGCAGGTCGCTGTGGGGGACAGCGGCAGTGGCAGCTCCTCCTCGTTCACGCTGCCCACTCGGGACTACACCTAGGACCTGCCCGACGAGATCCTCGCGCTCGTCTTCGCGTCGCTCTCACCCACCGACTACAACGCCTGCTCCCTCACCTGCTCCCGCTGGATGGAGGTCGACGCCACCACACGCCACTGGCTCTCCCTCGACGCCCATGCCGCGCTAGGCAACGCGGCGCCTGTGCTGTTCGCGTGGTTCACGGCCGTCACCAAGCTCGCGCTCCGCTGCGCGCGTGGGTCGGGCGCCGACAGCCTCTCCGACTACGGCGCCGCGGCGGTGGCCGACGCACTACCCTCGGAGCGCCTCGCTAGGCTCAAGCTCCGCAGCCTCAGGCAGCTCTCAGTCGCCGGGCTGGCCTCTCTCGCCGCCGCCATGCCGGGCGATCCATAAACTCTCCGTGCGCCCTGCACCTTTCAGCGCGCAAGGCATTCGTCGCCGTGCTCCAGTCCTGCCCCCTCCTCGAGGACCTCTCCGTCAAGCACCTCCGCGGCCTACCTGACACGGCCGGTGCCACCACTTCCATTGCTGAGGACATTAAATTTCCACCGGCTTTGTCCCTGTGTTCGGTTTGCCTCAAGGATCTATATAGCGTTGTGTGCTTTGTGCCGCTTGTGGCGTCCTCACCAAACCTCCGCTCGATCAAGATACTGCGGTGCTCCGGCGCCTGGGACCTGCCATTGGAGGTCATCACTGCACGTCCTACATACTTTGTAGAGATGGTAGGAATCTATGGCCAAATCCCCAATGCTTCTGTCAATGATTTTATCTGCAAGATCACAAAAGTGTCAAATTCCAAAGTCGGTTCCTTATATGTTGTTTCTTATCATTCTAAGATTCTAATTAAGAATACAAGTTGCCTCTGATATGTCCATAGACTACGTCAAATGTAAGCTTTCCTTGCTGGACCACAGCAATCAAGCTCATTAAAATGGGGCAATTTCTTTATATATGAGCAAGTCTGAAACAAGATTTAAAAACATATTAGCATGGGAAGGAGACAAAAATAGTTAAAAACATGCCTGGGCAAAGAAAATAAACATACGTACCACACAACCCGATCAGGGTAACCCCTCAAGTAACTTTATTTGGGACTGTCAGAGAGCCTTATTCATCTTCACAATTGTTTGGTCAAAACCTTGCTCCTCATTTGTTCATTTGTTTCAACTTAGATCTGGGTGAGTGCAAGGCTATGGCGTCCACGAGTGGCGCGGTCATGGCCATGGTGGCTCCCCCTGAACTCTATATAAGGGTAGCCAGGGCACCCTTCCAAGCCTTCGGACCCCAAGCTCTCATTCGGGCAGTCCATCTCTTAGCTCTATCTCTATCTCCTACCTCTTCCACCATTCTTGCACCCGCCATTGTAAGAACTTCAGAGCATTCAAGCGAGGAACATGCACTCGATCATCTCTGAGACTTGACATAGGGCTTCGGCCTAAACCAGTTAACTCCTCGTGTCTTTTAGATGCTACCATCATCATCCTGGAGCAGTGCGGCATTCATATAAATTCACTAGTCGGTCAACAAAACACCAACGGTTGGCACGCTAGGTAGGGGGCAGTCGCACACTCTCGTTGTTGAGAAGGAAACGATGGCTCCTCGTACCAACGATGGATTCGCCCTTGGAACGGTCCCTAGCGACCTCATCCATCGAATGAACCCTGAGTTCGTCGGCGTCGATGGGCCAACGCCCTCGTTCATCGGCGGTCACAGCCGAGTCTTCTGTTTCGGAGACCCGGACCCCGTGGCCCACGGCGAGCAAGCTTGCGGAACGGACCCCCGACGGCCACATCCAAGAGCTCATCATGACAGGAGGGCTAGCACCCTCCTCCGCCGTAGGTCATGGCCGGGTCCTCCGTTCTGGAGACTCGGACCTCGTGGCCCATGGCGAGCAAGCTCGCGGAACGGCTCCCGGTGGCCGCATCCAAGAGCTCATCACAACGGGAGTCCAGGACCCTCCCAAGCCCTAGGACATCACCGGGTCGTCTGTTCCGAAGACCCAGACCCCGTGGCCCATGGCAAACAAGCTCGCGGAACGGCCCCCGGCGGCTGCATCTAAGAGCTCATCACGACGGGAGGGCCAGCACCCTCCCTCACCGTAGGTCACGGCCTGGTCCTTCATTTCGGAGACCTAGACCCCATGGCCCACGGTGAACAGGCTTGCAGAATGGCCCTCGGTGGCCGCATCCAAGAGCTCATCATGACAGGACGGCCAGCATCCTCCCTCATCGTAGGTCATGACCTGGTCCTGCCGACGAGCCAAAATGTAAGAAGAACCCGGCGGCGAGAGAGATCAATATGGCCGCATCCCAAGCCAAAGCCACCCGGCCTATCTGAAATGGTCAGAGACAGCGATCACCTTCGATAGGTCTGATCATGACAACCACATTCAGCAGCCGGGGTGGTTCCCCCTCATCATCAGCGTAATAGTTGGCGAAACGCGCCTGACTAAGGTGTTGATGGACGGTGGGAGCGGACTCGACATCCTATATGTGCGGACGTACGACGCTATGGGCCTCCCCAGAGTGGTGATACAGCCGACGAGTGCCCTTGTCTATGGGGTTGTGCCTAGGATACGAGCCTCTCCTCTCGGACAGGTTGCTTTGTCCGTCACATTTGGAGGATGGGTGAACTTCCGCACGGAAACAATCGTCTTCAAAGTAATGGACCTCCCGAGTGCCTACCAAGCCATCCTAGGGCGACCATGCTACGTGGAATTCATGGCCATCCCTAACTACGCTTACCTTAAGCTCAAGCTTCCTAGCCCTCGAGGGACCATCACCGTGAGTGGCGACCTGCACCAGGCGCACTCTTGCGAGGAGGAGAACCTCAATATCGCGGCGGCCGCAAGCTGAGCCCCGGAGCTCCGGGCCATCTAGGCCACCGTGACCGAGGTTGCACCCGAATCTAGTGCGAGAAAATAGTCATCAGGAACCTTCAAACCCACAGAAGATACCAAGGCAGTGCAGGTCGACCCCGACGACGCCAGCCAAACCGTCCGGGTCGGTTACGGGCTCTTCAACGGACAAGAGCGCGAGCTCATCGACTTCTTGCTCCTAAATCAGGACATATTCGCATGGAAACCCTCCGACATGCTAGGAATCCCGAGGCAAGTCGCCGAGCACAGCCTCGACATCCTACCTCGGAGCCAAACTGGTCAAACAATGCCTCCACTGCTTCGACAACGAAAATGATAGAGGCTTGGAGCGAGGGAGGGATCGAGGAACTCACTGTGATGGGGCGATCGATGGCGCGGACTGCGGCGATGAGATGAGCTCACCTCCTGAAGCGGCACCCACGTGAGCAGTGTCGCCGGAGCATTTGAGGCACCTCCAGCTCGCGGCGTTGGAGGGCGCGAGGGGCTTCCGATTCGGAGAGCCAGGGGGAGTGCGGACTGCAGACTGTGATAGGGTGGCGCAGGTGGAGCACGTCGACCTCAGATGGTGAAATCCTGCCGCAGCCCGCAGGCCATGCAGACGCCATCACTGTCGCAGGGTGAAGCGGCATCGGCGGCGCCGGGCGCTAGGAATTGGGGATGGGCGTTGTCCTAGGGTTTGGGGAGGAATTTGACCAAAGCAGAATGAGGAAAAGGATTTCGCTTCCTTCAAATTTTCGGGATAGTTTTCTTTCTTTTTTTGTTGGCACACAAAACCGTTGATGTCAGGGCAGGCGCGTGAGAGAAGAAATATTGCTTTCTTCTTCCTTGCCGGCGACGCCTAACGGGCTAACGGAATGAGAAAAATGTTGTCAGTGATGGTGCAAAGCATGTCAACAGTCCAAAGGTTAAATCCTAAGTCCAAGATTACCTTCTAAGAATATATTAAGCCAAAATTTAACGGCATGCCTTAGTGGCCACGAGCTTGGAAGGAGGAAGTCGAGCAAAGAGTCTATATAGGCATGGACCTACATGTTATAGGGAGACTAGGAGATGGAACGACTAGGCATAGATCACTAATAGTAAAAACTGCAAGAAAAGTGTATGCAGATGTGTGTTACGTTAACATTATATGCATGCTATATATAGTCCGTTTTTCTCATTCCCGCAAGTGTAACAAAATCTCACCCGCCATCTCTACGCCCCACACGCTAACACCCTTAATCAACATGAGTGTGCCCCAAACTGTAGCGACGCGTGGATTTCTTTTCTTCTCCTTCCGTTTCTTCTTCTTGCTAAAACCACTCCAGCTCTCACCCCCGTCCTCCGCCGCCCATCCCCACCGCTCCTTCCCCCACCCTTCCCTAATCGGAATCGGAGGATTCGGCACCACCGCCCCTGCCCTGCCGCCAGCCTCGCCCACCAACAGCCACCAGTCGCCGATCCCACTGCCCACCAACCACCTCCACTAGTCGGCCTCCGCCCTCCTCTCTATCTCATTTGGAGGAAAATGCTGACCCCTCGCCCCCTGCCACCGACTCTGGCCCCCGCCCCATACCGGATGTCCTCCGCCGCCCACTCTGTGGCCCCCTGTCGCCTCACTCGCCGATATTAGAACCACCACCACTGCTGGTCCCACCAGTGGCGGATCCAGAAACCGACCAAGGGGGGGGGGCTAAAACAATACAAGGCTTAAACAATATCGACTCAAAGTGCATCTTTCTTACCAAAATATTTTTCCATTCTAATGCCCTACAATATAATTGAATGTGTGAATCACTGTCGATGTTTTACCACCAA